AGAAAAAAAAAAAAAAAAGGAATGCCCACAACGATGACAGGGGAAGAGCATATCAGATGTCTTGGCAAGGGCCAGAGGCAGAGAGCCCTCTAGTACAGAAAGGTACTCACATGACATTTATAAAGGAAATGTTTATTTTCATCACAAGAAGCACACAGACTGTATACAGTACACACCAAAAGAAGTAAAAAAAAGTGCACTATGCTTCTACTGCAAATTCACAGTACAAAAGATACTGCCTTTTAAATATATAATATAAAAAAACAATAAAAAATCAAAAAGTTGTAATGTGATGCATGGGAACCCGGCAGCAGCCTTTGAACATGGTCTGGTGCGGCTCCTCTGGGGTGAGCTGTACCCACAATTTGCTGCAAGGAGCTCAGGAAATGGGCAGGAGAACAGGGAGTGTGAGGAGAGTCTAGGTGGCAACAAACCTCTATAAACTAGAGGGCAACTGTGAGGGGTTTGGGTGAGGTAATGGGGCTGTGGGTCACAGAGTGCAGGAGCTGCACCATTTCCCAGCTGTGATTTGGCAAACCAAATCACATCCTTCACTGGCTACCATGGGTTGTGGTGTTTGCTGATGCCAGCCTGGCCTGCAGGAACTCAACAGTGCCGCTTCGGGCAGGCTCCATGGAGCAGTCACCAACCACAATGTCAACTGCATAGCAGAATAGACGTCAAGTGGAGGGGGTGGGGAGAAACTCAAGTCCTAATCTCAACCACCAGGATGAGACCAAGTACCCAGCCACAGAAGATGAGAGCTGAACGGTTGCGCATAAATACACAGTATTTGTAAACGATCATTAAGGCACTCAATTGTAAAACAATTACAGTGTAAAAGAGGAAGCAGCTATCTTCTCATGCAGCAAGGCCAATGACCAGGGCAGCAGAGGCTGCGCAGTTAGCACCCCTGTCTGAGACAGGGACTAAAGGAGGGGCCGTGGTGTCGACTGCAAAAGGGAAAGACAAGGTGGTCACCCTCCTCCAGATGGCCCCTAGTGGCATTACTGCAGATGAGTCTAGGGTGACTTACTGCATAGCTAAAGGACACTGTGTGTGATGAGGGAAATGGCATACACCAGGTTTGATCGGGTACACACACACACACACCACATATACACACAATGCATACACAAGGTGTATGCACACAGACCTATGTACATGTATGCATGCAGCGTGGACTCTCACGCCCCAACAGTAACAAAACAAGGGGCTTTGGATAGGGGAACATCAATGACCTTCATCTGGTCTTTATCATCAGCAGGAACTCGGGGATGGGGACCAAATCAGGTGATTTTTGTGCTATGCTGGTCAGATGATACCAAATGTCCACCTACCTGGCATTCTTGCCATGGGTCATGTATGTGCTCCTTGAGAGCCCTGCTAAATGACCAGTCAACCCAAGGGGACTGGTGATATGAATTCTGGCACCAATGACTGCCAGCCACTAGGAAGTAACTCCCTTCCCTTAGGGCGTCATGGGTGAGGTTTCTCCATGTGGTTTTGTTCTTGATGAGGAGAAATGGTTCCTGAGGAGCGAGAGACTCCTAAGCCTTCCAGGATGGGCCTTGATACAGGTACACAGAAGCACAGGGTGGGAGTCAAGCTCTATTCTTTTCAAACTTGGCTCCATCCTGCAGCACCCTCTGGGCTTCTCTGGGGCAGAGTGAAGGGCTTTAGATTAGCAGGGCTGATCTGCTGTTAGAGCAAGCTGTGCAGTAAGAGTAGGTTGGGCTAGAGCAGTGCAGCTATCTGGGTGCTTGTGAGTCACTGCAGGCTGAGCCACAGATGAGCTGTGTGCAGCTGGCAGGGTCTCCACACTGAGAATAAGGGTCCCTGGGATGCAGAGGGCACCTTGGTCTTAGCTCATGTAATCAGCCATTCCAACTTTCTCCTTCTCTATCTAGCATCCTTCTATCTCCCTTACAGTTCAGCAAGCCTTCTGTGTTGAGGTATGGTGAGGCTACCACAAGGAGGGCAGCTGAGAACCCAGGGCATCAAGCTAAGGAGATAGCTCTTCATTCAACGAAGACATTCCGTAAAAATGGCAGTCAAATTGGTAGCTTACGCTGCATAAATCCCTCACAAAGCAAAACTTTTTTTTTTTTTTTTTTTTTTTTTTGAGACAGGGTTTCTCTGTGTAGCTTTGCAGCCTATCTCCTGGCACTCGCTCTGGAGACCAGGCTGGCCTCAAACTCACAGAGATCCACCTGCCTCTGCCTCCCAAGTGCTGGAATTAAAGGCGTGAGCCACCAATGCCCGGCCCAAAGCAAACCTTTTTGTTTGTTTTTTTTGGTCAGGGTCTATGCAGCCCTGGACTCAGCGATCTGCCGCTTCTACTGGGATTAAAAGTGTGTGCCACCAAGCCCGCTTGGAGCAAACTTTTAATAAGACAATGTGCAGTTGTCACTGCTGAGTTGAGGTGAGCTTGGCTTGGCAGGATAATTTCACAGAATCCTTTAAATTAAATACCAATCCACTGTGTTAACAGATAGACCCAACCCTCCAGGTGAGAAGGGAAACCATCAAGCCAGGGGCTCGTTCTGGTGACTCAGGGGTGGGGAGACAACACGTGGCAGCAGGGCCCTGCTGTTTGTGCCCTGCTGGCTGATATGCCAGTGCTGCTAAAAGAGGCCAAAGACCCACTGGAGTTTGCCATTCTCCTGTCCTTACTATTTGAACAGAACAGAACAAACTGTGGTTTTCAAAGTCCTATCACCCTTATAGATGGGATTAAAGATCCAGCAGAAGCCTATCATTACCAAAGCTAAGGGATTATTTTGACACAAAAATTGATCTACCATGTGAAATTGAACTTGTCGATACCCATTAAGGTTGGCTATTTTTTTTTTTTTTAAGTTTGCTTTTGTTGGCTGAGGGGGAGTGGAGGAAGCCCACAGGGTTTCAGAAATAAGTAGTGGATAATCACCTTTTAGGTGATTACCATTGACACTGGTGGGAAAACAAATCCCTATAAAATAACATACATGTGTTTTTGTTTTTGAATCACACACACGTCAGGGAGAAAAGCTCTGAGACAGAGGTTCACAAAGACCATGTACTAATGAGGACTAGCCTTGTTCCTGGAGATGTGTTGGGTGTTCTCCAGGATAGCTATTTGGGGAGCTGGATAACTCCCACCCATGTATTTCCGGAACATGGCCAGCCCTTGAAAGCTTTGTTGTCTCACTAAGCTGTCTGGCTGAACCAGGCAACTACAGGATGGAGTTGCAGTCACCTCTACAAGGACTTCACCTGCACTAGGGGAAAAGGGAAGGCTGGCACAGTTTGGGGCATGTGGAGGAAGTATTTGTTCGGTGACATCCAAGAAGCAAAGGAGGCCTTCAAATGCGTCCTGTGTCTTCCTGCAGTGCCACACACAGCCCTGAGGCATCATGTCAGTCAGCAAGTTTCTCACTTTGTGGCCCAGGTTGGCCTTTAACTCCTGATGGACCTGCCTCAGCCTCCTGATGCAGGTCACAAACCTGTGCCAGTATCACAACTTCCTCTATCTCTTGACAAATCCCTAAAAATGTAAAAACCAAGCCTGGGACATGATGGGATTATGCCAGAAACCTTAGCATTCAGGAGGCTGAGGCAGGAGGACTGCTGTGAGTCTGAGGTCAGCTTGGGCTACACAGTGAGATTCTACCGAGAGAGAGAGAGAGAGAGAGAGAGAGAGAGGGAGAGAGAGAGAGAGAGAGAGAGAGAGAATAACAACTTGAGAGGCAGAGGCAGAGGCAGAGGCAGGGTGACCTTGCTGAGTTTGAGGTTTACTCTGTCTACATAGCAAGTTAAGTTCCAGGACAGTCAAAGCTACACAGTAAATTCTTATCTCAAATGGGGGAGGGGAGGAGAAATAGTACGAGAGAGAGAGAGAGAGAGAGAGAGAGAGAGAGAGAGAGAGCGCTCCCGAAGCAGTGGTGGCACATGCCTTTAATCCCGAGAGGGGTACTTCTGGGAGGCAGAGGTAGGTGAATCTCTAAGTTCAAGGCCAGCCTGTTCTACAGAGCAAGTTCCAGAACAGCCAGGGCTACACAGAGAAACCCTGTCTCGAAAAACTAAACAGAAAGAAAAAAACAAGAAAAACAAACCCAATCTCCCAAGGAAGCATTTTCACAGCAGAAATGAAATAAGTCAGAGTGGAAGCCATGCTCATCTCACAGGGTGGTCCATCAGAGTCTGACAAATACCAAATCAGGCCCTTCCTGCTGCCATTCTGCATTCACTTCAAAATACTTAAAACATTCTGCCTTCTTGATGGGCATCAGATGAGGCCCCTGATTTGAACCCAGAGCCCAGACCTCCCACTGCATTGAGCTAACCTGTGCTAACACCTGTGTTGTGACCCACCCCCTTTGCCTCATCCCTGCTGCATGAGATAGATAGCTGGAGACAAGGAAGCGGAACTCTAGTGACGAGAAGGGTTATTCTCCCCATGGGAAGAGACATGTGTATAGAGACATCTGTGAAACTTTTCAACATGCTCACCCTTTCCTTGTAGGAGGGGGACCCACAAGGAAGTAGCCCATTGCTGACACACCCTTCCTCTCACTGACTGTGGAGCTGGCACCTAAGGAGCCTGGGGAAGGGGTGGTCACGGTGTGTCAGCAGGATGATCCACACCCTAAACCCCCAACCTCATGGACATGAGCTCGATATAATCCCAAACATAGCAATGCCTTGTGAGCAGCAGATGTGGCTGAACGATGCCCAGAGTCCTTCCCCGTGCATGACTGGAGGATGGAAGCTTGATGCTAGCAGCTGAGGACCCCACATACCCCATGCAGGTACCGACCGGGATGGAGGGTTATACAGATGACTGCCACTCAGTATTTTCCTCTGATGACTTCACCTAGCTGCACTCGGGATGGGCAGGTTCAAAGTCTTGACACTTCTGGGGTTCCCCCCCCCCAAAAAAAAAAAAAAAAAAAAAAAAAACCAAACCAAAAAACCCCCCACAATTCCCTTGGAAAAAACCCTTTCAGACATGCTCCTCAGATTGAGCCTTAGTCATTACTATTTTAAAAGCAAAATGCACAGTGAGAATGGAGGTAGGACTGTGTTGTCATCTGAGAATTCTCCCTTGAGGACAGGAGAGGGCTGGGAATGTGGGCCGAAGCAACAACATTGCCACGGCTCCTCTCTTACAGGTCACACGTAAAATACTTTGCATATACAGTCTTATTTTCTCTCCACCAGGCTGGCCTAAAACTGACTGTGTAGCTGAGAGTGACTTTGAACTTCTAATCCTCCTGCCTCCACCTCCAGTGCTGGGATTACAGGTATGCACTGCCATGCCTGGTTTTACATGGTGCTGGGGATCAAACTTAGGGCGTGGTGCGAGGCCGGCAAGACTCTAACAACCGAGACACAGCTCCAGCCTGTGTGTCTGTATCTTCCCAAAGATAGGGCTTGGGGATCTGAGCTGTGTATCTCCTGGCTGACAGTTTCCAGGTCGCCCAGGTCCTTGCTGGGTCTCCTTCATGTGGTCTATGTTACTTCTGTTTCTGCCCCTTTCTCTTTGGCAAGAGTGGGGAAAGCCTGGATGACTAACGTTAACATGAATCGAGACGTGGGTGGTGGTGGTGGATCAGAACACCGTGAAAACCTCCACCCACACGGCAGAACGCTGGTCAGCTTTTACTTAACCCTGACAGGCTTTTCAAGTTTTCTGGGACCGATTTCCCTGAGGGTTTACAGGCTGTAACGGGGTCCCTCGGGGTGGCCTGGGGTTCGTGCAACAAGGAAGAGTGACCACACTTGGCGTCCTGTGAGTCAGCAATGGTGGACGTGTCAGCCTCACTGGACAGGTCCTCGGTGGATAAGTTGAGACTTCCCAGTTTGGCGAGGGAGTGGGAACGCTTCAGTGGGGAGGACACAGTGAGGCCCGCCAGCCGGAGTCTCGTCTCGATCTCCTGCGCCCGCTGCTTCACCAGCCCTGGCTTCCCTCGGACACTGTGGATGCTGTCACTGCTGGAGCTCCGGGTCAGGTTGGAACTCATGGAGGAGGAGGTGGGGGTGTAGCACACCGTCTTCAGGAAGTCTTTCGAGAAGCTACTGGTGTGATCCAGGCGGAGGAGGGTAGGAGTAGGGCTCTTCACCAAAGCTCCTTCTGGAGGTTTCTCTTCAATCCCTGCTTGGTTGCTCAGGGCTGAGTGTTCAGGCTCCTGGCCCTCCTCAGGGATGCTAGCCTCCAGCCTGCTGGTGGCACTGTCCCTGCAGGTAGACGGTGGGTCTGAAGGCAGGCTCTTCAACCTCTCCAGCTCTTTGGTGTGCTTCCGGACCAGGCCTGCCTTCTGTAGCTGAATGATGGACTCCTGATGTTGCATCAGGTAGCTGTTGGTGGTCGGCTTCTCGGCCTCATTACTGAACAGAAGCCTCAGGTCCTTAGCTGGCTTCGGATCTCTCTTAGCTGACAATTCTTCCTTCACCACTTCCATACTGGTGGCGTTCTTATCACAGTGAGAATTCTTCAACAGGAGTGACTTTGGAGGGACTTTGGAGGTTTCTCTGGAAGGCTCTAGAAGGCTTGCTGGCGGTTCTGGGTGAGCCCCAGCTCCAGAGCCACCGACGTCTGGCTTCCTTGAGCCTGCTGGCAGTAGGGATGCGGGGTTGTTGGCTGGACTAGAGGCCAGCCTCTCTGGAGCTCGGGACCTGCTGCTCGTGTGGGCCATTGGGGAAGATGTGACATGGGGCAGGAAGGCTGGCTGGGTGCAGATAGCAGGAGCGCTGGGTTCTTCGTGCCATTCCACAAAGGCCTCGGGGGCCCCGCCAGCTGCAGGGTACATGCAGTCAGCACAGGACGTGTAGGAAGGCTTCACTTTACTGAGGATTCCGAACACAGCATCACCCTGCAAGAGACAGAGTGCCATGAGCAAACATGATCAAAGACCAAAAGCACAGAGAGGGCCGCTGTGGTGGGGGTGGGCAGGGCTGGCTGGCACTGTGGGTGTGGGGGGGTGGAGAGGGAGCAGTGATTTCTCTTCATTTGTTAAGGATTAGAGATCATTTGGAATGCACCGATCATGAAGAACAGAAGTTAGAGTGGCCTCAGGGATGTCAATATTGACTTTCCACAATCCAAGATGATGCCCTGGTCTGGGCAAACCTTTAAACCACAGGGCTATGACAGAGCCTCCTAGGGCCTCCCTTTCTCAATCTGTCTCTACCATCTGCCAGGCTGACCTTTCCTGGCCATGGTCTGTTCTGGAACGCAGGGGCACTAAAAGACAGGAGTGACAGGTTGGGTGAGCCTGCTAGTGCTCTTCCAGAGGATCTGGATTCAGTCCCGAGCATCCGAGTCAGATTCCATAGTGTAACTCCAGCTGCAGGGAAGCCAATGCCGCCAGCTCCCAGGAGCACTGGCACCCACTGTGTTTAACTCCACAAGCGGACACACAATTTAGAATAGAATTTAAAAACAAAGCTAGAATGTAAAAAGCAAACAAATAGCCTGAGTGAAAGAGCAGCATAGAAAGGGGGCTCTCCCTGGCAGAGGGGATTTGCACCCGGGGTAACTGCAGCCTGAATACCCTGGCCAGCCCAAAGCGTAACTGGGGAAGCATCAATCTGCCTTGGTCACAATGATCTGGGACAGGCAGAAATGGCTCTTAGATTGTCTCCAACACAAACTCAAACACATGTAACTGCACATTACACCGTCTCCCAAGGACATCACTTGCCTTTTGGTCATTGGGGCCTCAGGGAATGAGTCAAGGACTTCTGTCTCTCTCTCTCTGCCCTCCCTGCCAGGGCAACCCTATCCCAGCTCAAAGGCCAATCAATGATGAAGGAGGTGAGAAGGGTAAGGATGGCTGAAGGAGCGAGTTTTTTCCCAACTGCCTGACTGTGAGAGCCCACAGCTAGCGGGAAAACAAGCCTTACACATGACAGTTGTGGATGGGGCTCATAATTTTGCTACAAGTTGAGTCTGGATGACCTCTTTCCATGATTCCAAGAGGTTAATACCACTCTGTGTAGCTAACTGCAGTCTCAGGCTCACAGGCTGTTGTCACCCACCAGCCTGGCTTGTGACCTATCCCTCTGCTTAGCATCCTGTGTGCTTCCTTGTGTGCCCAGGACACTGCACATACATAGCTTCACCACCAACACTCCAGGGAGGCCTCAGCCACTCCCTGCCTATATCTTTCACTATTGCCCCACCATGACACGCGCACACAGCTCCTGTCCCTCAGACACCGAATTCTCTGTCCGGATCTTGGCTCTCAATACAGCATCGCTGCTCAGCCTGTCCCTAGCAAGTTGCCCTCCATCAGGGTACGAGTGATCTTTCACTCTGTCCGCGGTTGTGCCCTCAAGTTTACCTTCCCCTTACCCCACACACATAGGCCTAAGAGACACAGAACAGGTCCCCACACCAGCCTGGCACACCACAGTTAATAAAAGGAGTCAGACATACAAACGGCTTCTTGTCTGCAGCTCCAGTCCTGGTGCTGAATCCACTGAGCCCCTACCTAAGCTGCTCTCCTGCTACCATCCAGTGACTCAAAGTCAGGCGCCTGGGGCTAACCACAGCATCACTGTCCCAGACAAAGGCATTTTATGTAATCTGTCCTCTCTAAGGGAAGTGGTGGGCAGTGGGTGAGGCATGTAGTTCCTTTCTGGTCTGGGACATATTTCATTACTTAGAGGCCAGCAGATGAACCGCCCAGAGTGGTTAGGTGTTTTTTGTTTTTGTTGTTTTGCTGTTGTTTTGATTTTCTTTTTCTTAGCACTGAAGCACAATGTTAATTACAAACCAACGTTCTACTTCAGTGACCCCCGAGAGTCTTCATTGCAGGGACGGCGAAGGGACAGGAAGGTCCTGGCCTCAGGCCTTTGGTGAGTAGTGGAAGGGCGGAACCTAAGAGCAGGCAGCCCCCTCCGCCGTAAGGACAGTCCTACTTCTAGGTCACTGCTGGATGCTGCAACAAGGAAGACGGGGCGTGGGACCAGCCACTTTCTGAGCAGCTAAGGCTTCTTGTACCTCATTCCCCAGGGATGGCAGCTATAAGGGACACAAGGAGTGAAGCAATAACATGAGCTGGAAGATGGGACAGCACCGTTCTTCTGTCACATAACAGAGCATTTAGGAAGAAAATGCTACTCCCCGGATGTTTCAAAGCCATCCAAGTGAGGGAGTTGGGGGGCTGTGGCAGGTGCAGTGGGCTGAATCAGGAACACTACACATCAATGCAGGGGTGAACTGGGGTGGTGAGACGAGCTGGAAGCCCCGCCTTGGATGGGACGGGTAATCACAAGACTTAGGTATCCCTTAGCACAGCATATCCACTAGCTAGGCACATGCTACACAGTCAGGCAGTCATAGCCCCCTCCTGAAATAAACCCTCATGGGAAGAAGTGAGAATTGCAGCCCTGCAGGGCCAGCCAGGAAGGTGCTCTGTGGGGTGGGGTAGAAGTGGCATGGCTTGCTGCTCCCCACAGTGGTGCCCCCCCCAACACCTACCTCAAAGTCATCAGGGCAGCTCCTCTTACTGTTGTTATTGTTCAGGTTCTCCTGGTCAAGCAAACTTCTGTTCAGCTGGGTGGAGGCCCGCCTCCACCTCCCTGCTCTCTGGCCACCCCCCTTCTCCATCTCCTCCACCTGTGGCAAGGAGCCACCGCGGGTTTTGGGGCTCCCAAACTCTAGTTTCCTCTTTATGTCCTTTTCACAGAGCCTGGCTCCTTCCTGAGGATGCTGGACTGGCTTGTGCGCCTCTACCGGCTGGGCTGCGTCCTCCAACAGGGCATCCCGCTCAAGATCCTCCAAGTGGACCAGGCCACCTGTATCATCTTGGGAGAGAAGGGGGTCTGAGAGTCTTCGGAAACAACAGGGGAGAGAGGGTCCTCCTGCGGGGGCCTGGCTTCCTGGGAGCCCGGGCTGGGTGGTGGTATCATCCAAGCCCGGCAGCTGGGTGTCCAGGGCATCATCCAGGGTCTCTGGCAAGAACTCGCTGGGCTCTGCTGCAGTGTCACCCGCAGGCTGCTGTCTCCACAGTTTGTTGTGTCGCTGCTTACTGAGGGGAGAAACAGCAGGAGGCGAGTGAGAGGGCAGCACCAGCAGGTCCTAGCAGGAAGGGTAGGGCCTACATGGGAGGGGTTCAGTATGCAGAGCTCCCCTCTGTCCACTCACCAGGGCACACAGGGATGAGGGCATTCTCAGCCACCACAGCCTACATGAGAAGCCTTTTGGGACCGTTTACCACGTGGTGACAGCGTGGCAGATGCAGAGAGTTTTGACTGGAGGTCTGCGGCTTTCTTTGTGTTTGTGCTCGTCTTACTGTGTGAATCTAGTCACGTCACCAATGGCTCTCACTCAGTTTTGGTGACCCTTGAGAGTGACAGTGTGAGAAAACTCAGGGGTCAAAGCTGTGGGGGTGTCAAGTTCTCTGCACACTAGGATATAGAGGCAAACATGACCATACTGGGAAAATTCCTAAGTATTTGTTTCAGGCAGAAACTACAGGTCTGTTTTTAGTGATTTCCTCTTTCTTTTTCCTTTTGTTTTTTTCTTTTCTTTTGTGTGTGTATGTGTTTTTTTTTTTTTTTTTTTTTTTTTTTTTTTTTTTTTTTTTAAGAAGCAAGGTCTATGTAGCTCAGGCTAGCTCCAAACTTAGTATGTAGCCCAGGCTACCTCAAGTTTCTGATTCTTCTACCTCTTCCTTCCAATTGCTGTGATTATATGCCTGGCTTGAATGAATTCTTCTGATATTTTTATTATTATTTTAATATGGGAATAGAATCCATGGCCTTGTACCTGATAGGCAAACATTCTATCATTGGGCTACATACACAGCCTTATGGCATTAAAAAAAGTTGTGTGTGTGGGTTGTTTTTTTTTTATTTTTTACAAATTCTTGAGAATTTCATAGAATATATTTTAGTACATTCATCCCAGCTTCCACTGCCCCTAGTTTGTGTCCCCTTTTTAAAATAGGCTCCGAAGTCCAGTTTGTGCCACCATTACTCATGGGTATAGGCCATCCATGAGAACATGGGTGACCTAGGGGCCTGCCCCAGAAGCCGTCAGCTGTCAATAGCTGCTAATTTAGGGACGGGGGCTGGCACTGTTTTTATAACACGTTTGAAGAATAAAAAAGAGAGAAAAAGCTTTATAGTGACAGAGGCAATCACTAAGGTCACCTCTACCTCTCAAGGACTTTGGAGTAAAATCTGCACTGTGGGGGTCCCAGGGGCTCATGTGCTCCCTCGACAGATAGCTTTGATCCAGGGTCCATGCTGTATGGCCGTGGGCCTGCAGGAGACCCTCGGCTAGGCTACAGCATGGGGAGACATCAGGTGACTTGAGAGGCTAAGGGAGAGCAGGGTGCCTACTTCCTCCCCTCCCAATCCAGTTGCCTAGGGACCTAACAGACAGTCTGAGTGACAGTGAAACAGTCCAGAGATGGCTGCAGAGCTTCTCCGAGCCTGTTCATCCCTGCAGGAGTGGTCCTGCTTCCCCAAACCTGTCCAAGGAGCTGAAGGACTCAGCCTCTGGATTCCTTCCAATATACCAGTCAGAAATAATCTAGGCAGCTGCTTCTGCAAACCGAACATAGAGCAGCGAGAAAATGAGTCCCCAGATCCTGGCCTCTGCCCCAGCAGCCTGGGAGTGCTTCGGAACCCTCACTGCCCTGACAGGGGCCCCTGTAACAAGTGCTTTCTCCTGTGGCAGTCAACACATGTGGGTGTAAATCTCTCTCTTGGCACCCAGAAGCCGACTGTGTGCCACGAGACAAGTTAACCTTTCAGCATTGGCCCCTTCTGCTTGCTTGTAAAATGAGAAGCCGAACTCTACTCTGAGGTGGGAGACAAAGCTACAGCAGCTACATTTATTAACTTACTAGCAGTCAGCTTGCCAAGAACCTGTATTGACTGCTCCTGCAACCTCACAGAGCCCTGTCAGTTTTTTTTAAGCATGTTTTTTTTTTAATTTATTTTATGTACATTGGTGTTTTGCCTACATGACTGAATGTCTTTATGAGGGTACTGGATCCCCTGGAACAGGAGTTATGGACTGTTGTGAGTTGCCATGTGAGTGCTGGGAATTGAACCTGGGTCCTCTGGAAGAGCTCTTAACACTGAGCCATCTCTCCAGCTCCTAAGCCCTGTCAGTTTTAAAATTGTGCCATCTTGACCACTTTTATGTACACAGCCTGGCAGGACATTTACAATACTGCACCACATGATCTGTCTTCGTAACTGTTCACAGAACACAATGCACACTACCAGCTGTTGGACTCGAACTGTTCCCTCTCCAGCCTTTGGCCACCAACACCACACTCTCTGTCTCTAGGAACCTCATAAAGCATGGGGTCACAGTTTTTCCTTATGGCCCTGAAGTTTGTTCAGGGTGTACCATACATGTCAGAATTTCCCTTTCCTTCCTTTTTATGGGGTGGGATGGAGATGGGATCTTAATATATGGCAGAGGTTAGCTTTGAACTTCTGGTGCAGGCAGTCTTCTAGCTTTAGTTCCCCAAGCAGCCTGGCCTACAATCAGGAGCTCCTTCATCTGACTCTAACTGCCTTCCTTCAGCAAGCAGAGGGAGATTCCTGTACATGCTCCCTATTTGTTTATCCACCCATCCGCCAATGGGCTACTGTGAATAACACTGCCATCAATACAAACAACCCTGGGAGTCCATGTGTTTCCAGTCTTCTGGGTGTACAAGGTAAAGTGGAATTTTTGGATCATGCAATGGTTCTACTTTTAGGTTTTTGAGTGACCACAAGCATCTAATACCTGGGTGTCACTGCCTTAACTTGGAAGAAGGGACTGAACTTGGGGAAGGTCACCAGGCTCATCTGTGAACAAGGCCTGTGGCCCCTTCAGCTCCCCAAGTCTGGCACAAAGCAGGTGCTTGGGAAATGGATATGCTCAGGCCCACACCACATACCAGGACGTGCCCTGGATGAGCAGTTAGGCACCTTCCCTCGCCCAGCAAGACAGGTTTTCTACAAGTGCCAACAAAATCAAAACAGATCCCTCCTGGAAACCACTGATCACAGCCTAAACAATAGCTGTTTTTTACAAGCCAGCTGGCTTCCAGTTGTGGGAGCTCCTGCCAGGGATGCCCAGGCTGGCCCAGCCAGCTTGGTCTGCCAGCCTGTCTCCAGGTACACACTCACCTTGCATCCAGGATGCCTTCGTACTCAGACAGCTGCCTCATAAAGCCGGCATTGGGCCTCGTGATGCTGCGCTTCTGTTTCACATAGTTATACGCCTTCTCCAGGGGCCAGCCAAACTCCTTCATCGCATAGGCTATAACTGTGGATGCAGATCGGCTGACTCCCATTTTGCAATGGACCAGGCACTTGGAATGATTCCTTCTGCGTGGATTGGGGGTGGGGGGTGGGATTAAGAACAAGGATTAAGAGCCTTCCCTGATTTACCATCCAGACTTTTCACTAACCCATTTTTTTTTTTTTTTAAGCCCTAAAGTTATGCACAGCTCCAACCCTCCTCTGTCCTGATGTTTATGGAACAGATCTCACACACCCTCTAAAGGAAATTGCTTTGCTGTTAAATCAATTAGCACACAATGGGAGAACAGATGAATCCACAGGCATGGCCTGGCCGGGTTTTTGAGAGGCCTCTTCAAAACAGCCTCCCCTGTTGCTGGGATAAGTGGCGCCACCTACAGTCGCTTCCTGGGCAGCACTGGGCAGTTAAAGGGATTTCTGCAAAAGCCACTCAGCTGCTGCGGCAGATGGAGGCCCTGAATGAGCTACTGTAGAAAATGGGGTCAGCCAGGCGCAAATGCTGCGCCCTGGGGAGACAGCAAGCGCCTGGAGGGAGCACAAGGATGACAGCAATCTGGCCAAGGGGGAACCGAGCCAGGGGGAAGGTGGGGGCCAATCGATCCAGCTACTTATAAGAAGGCAGTGCTGGCCGGGGCACAGCTGATTTACGAGATACACAAGGGACAGTGACCCTCTCCTTGATGGAGAGGGTGAAGGCATGCCAGGCTGGCAGAGGCTGCATCTGGAAAGCTAAGGTGGGAACAAGCAGTCTCTAGCTCACTCTTCTTTCCTAACTTGTAAATTTATAAGCAAGGAGCCCAGAGTCTGTGCCCTGGGGAAGCAAAAGAAGTGGCACTGGGTAAGAACACACCTTGTAGCTTTGACTGGGAGACTCCTATGTATGTGTGTGCCTGTGAGTGTGTGTGTGTGTGTGTGCATGTGTGTATGTGTATGGTAGGGGGTGAGGTGTCTTTGCTTTGGACTTCAACACAATTGCTCCAAAGGAGAATAAGGAGGGGCCTGGGGCTCAGGTACAGTGCAGATGGTACCAGGCACCATCTTGGGACTGCCCTGTTCTAGGCACACAGGAACATGGAACTACAGCCTGTTTTCTTTGGGGGAGCAATCCAGCATGTACTGGCCTTCTCCAGGATACCCCAGTAAGCTCCCCATTGGTACCTGGTATTTGATGCTGGCCTGGAATCAGTATTAATGATGAAAACTGAGCTCAATGTCACAATCATGGACAAGTGGGACAGAATAAGAGGGCACCCAGTAGAGAAGGTCAATACTTCCCTGCTTTGGTGCCTAGTATCCTTCAGCTACAACCAAAGGTCCACCAGACAACAAAGCCTCTCCCGACACTGGACTTCCGTATGCTCGACCATCTACCCCAAGAGCAGGGCTGCCTATTTCCACATTGGGGCTAGCTTCCATACCCAGCCTGCCACTTACTTCTGCCCACCTGTTCCTCCTAAGGCCAGCTGCCCGAACACTTACTTTGCTTTGTTTATAAAATGATACGCTTCATTCCAGTGGGCAAGAAGGTCTGTGGTCTCCTCATCGTAGACTCGGATGTTGTGATATGCAAACAAGCCAGGGAAGAAATTGTCTATTTCTCTAGTGACATTTAAAATGTAGTCAACCCTGCAGAGGAAAAAAGCAAAGAGCCTAGAGAATCAGAATGAGGAACAAGAAAAACAAACAAACAAACAAACAAAAAAACTGGCAGAGAAAAATCAATTTACATACACACGAAAGGGCCTATGTTCCTGGGGAAACTTTTTTTGTTTTTGCTCAACAGACATTTTTGTGTTTTTCCTCCCTATGACAAGAATGTATTATTTTTAAAAACTGTCATACTAAAACCTCTAAAACAGTAAAAAAGCTTCCAATCTTATTTTGCGTGTATTCTTCTATTACTCATGTTCTGTTTGAGAGTATCTGCTAACCCAAACTCCACAGCCCCTCACCCTTAACCAGTACACTCACTTCTAGAAAACCGAAACAATTTTGTTAATTGGAAAAACGTCTCAAATCGGTTTCCCCATAAATGACGATGAATCACATATTTATTCCCAGTAAAATGGAAGCATGGAGTCTAGCCTCTCACTGGACGACCGTTCTGCCTGGGGGAGCACATCCGACTGACTGGAGGTTCTAAGGATATATTTTAAGCTCTGTTTAGTCTCGGTTTTCAACTGCAGTGAGTTCTGGAAGGCTGGCAGGCACATTGGACCACAGAATGGTGATTTTGTGACTGTGGCTCCCACTGTTGACCATTTCTCAGAGGAGTCAGGCAAGGTTCTATCCAGCAGGGAGTATTCAGTCACAAGATTCCCACCAGGCACCAAGTATTGCCAGGAGTGGTCTGGTTTTCAGGGTCACTGACTGGCCAAAAGGCCAACAGAGATGTGTGTCCACACTAGGGTTCTCAGCAATTCCACTGGGGAGTGAGGCTGTGGGCGGGAGTTCAGAGCCTGCCCAGGGCTAGGCTGTCCTCCATTCCCCAGTATGATTAAGCTGTTCCCAGATTCCACCCACCCCCAGCACGGTCACCTAAGACTCCAGAAAAAACCTAGAACCTATGGATAATTCTGGGTAGCATTTCTGAAGCACAGGTGACCCTCCAGCCACTGAAGAGACCAGGCTGAGATGGGGGAAGAGGGATGGAGACTCACCCTGAGCCCTGCAGTTCCTCCAGATTGGATGCATTCCACTCGGAGCCCTGGGGGACAGATCACACAAACCCCTGTGAGTGTCACAGAGCTGCTTGTGGGATGCGCAGGGGCCCTGAGAATGGGGCCTCAGCCTCAGAGCAGAAAGAAGGACCAGGAGAGGGAGAGACAGGAGTCTAAGAGGAAACAGACTCTCACTGACCCCCCACTTCATGGACCCCCTGCTTTACCACCCCTGATCTTCTTAGTCAGCATGGGCACAGTCACCACCTGAGACATCCTCCCCATCAGCTACAGAGGGGACCCCGCTCTCTTTTCTGGCAGGTATTTTGGCATTAATTTTAAAAGTCTCTACCCTCTGATCCTGAGGGGACGACCAGAGCTCACACAGAGACTTAGGAACATGGGCATTTAGGGTATTTATAGGAAAACAACAGGAACCCAAAGGTCTACCAGGATGGAACCAGTAAGAAGAATGACAACAGATCCTTGTATGGGCACTTCAAAAGAAGCTATCCCAGTTCCAAAAGGCAGAGGCAGGTGGACTGCCATGAATTTGAAATTGAAGGCCAGCCAGGGGTATACAGTAAGACTTTGTCTCAAAACGAAACAAGCCAGGCGGTGGTGGAGCACGCCTTTAATCCCAGCACTCTGGAGGCAGAGGCAGGTGGATCTCTAGGTTCACGGCCAGCCTGGTCTACACAGTGAGTTCCAGGATTGCTGAGACTAATCAGAGAAACCTTGGTACGAAAAACAAAAAGACCCAGAAATAATTAAATAAATCATCATGTTGGCATAAGGAAAAACAGAATAAACCAAGAGGAACATAAAGACTACAAAACCAAGCAGAGTAGGCACAGTCTCGAGGAAACCCAGTGCTTGGGGCCTAGGTTCCAATCCTAATGCAAGAAACTGAAAAGTGGAAAAAAGTAACACATCAATAATGCTACAAGTAACCACCTCAGCATGGGATACTGAGAATAACCTTAAAAGCCTTAGCATGGCCAGGCATTGGTGGCACTCGCCTTTAATCACAGCACTCGGGAGGCAGAGGCAGAGGCAGAGGCAGGTGGATCTCTGTGAGTTCGAGGCCAGCCTGGTCTACAGAGCTAGTTTCAGGACAGCCTCCAAAACAATACAGAGAGACCCTGTCTTAAAAAAACAAAAACAAAACAAAACAAAATAATAAAAATAAAAGACAGCATGATTTCTATCCCCAATTGTCTAGAGAGTGTGATTAGATACTTTTATACTTTTACAAACTGCCTCATTAAAAACTCCTCTAATCCTGATCAGTCAAGGAACACAGAAGAGAAACACAAAGAGGCAATCCTTGTTGTGAAAAATGCAGAGGCCTGCAGTCCCAGCAAGCACATCCTGCTATCTCAGCCTCCTGCTGACTCCCTCTCCTGAGTTTCTCAGGTCCTCTGAGGCCTTGGGCTTTGACCATGTTGGCACCCTGCAATATGAGTTGGACTTTCATATCTGAGGGACAGCCTCCGTCATAAAAATTCCTTTAGTATCTCTCATGGAAAGAATGACACAAGGCACCAAGCCTCCCCAAACTCAGGCAGCTCCAAGAAAGCTGGGAGGCCTCTGGTCTGGATCACCATCTAGTGGAGAGAGTGGAGGAAAGTGCCTCCCCATTGCTCTAAGGTAGGCCTGCGAGCAAACCCTGCCTGTCTTTCAAAGTTATTCAAACCCACACATTCCCATCTCAGTGGTTAAAGCATGAAATCTGTGCATGCAGGGAGATTCACATCTAAACAAGAACATAAAAATATTTACATTCAACACTCAGGAGGCTGAGGCAGCAGATCACAAATTCTGGGCTAGCCTGAGCTAGAATGAACACCTGTTTCAAAATCCTCTGTTCCCACTAAAAGCCCACACATGCCTATGTGTATGTGTGTTTATGTATTTATGGAAACTGAAGTGGTCCCCCTCAGTGGTCAATGCCATCTTCCTTCAGCTCCTGTAACAGACATTTTCTCTATTCTAACCATAGTTATATTCACATCCAAAACCAGGCCTACAGAAGCTTCACTTGTCACCTCTAGAATATATCCTATTTAACCATTACAATCATCCGGTGATGTGCAGTGCCAAGATGATTCACCATGGGCCACAAGGCAGGTGAGGTGGCAGAGGGGGACCTTGGCCTTGCTAGATCTGACTTTCTACTGGACTTCATGGTCTCCTGGCTAATTTTAGCAACCCGCCTGCCTTTGAAAACTGGCCAGTTGCCATCTGTGGAGATTTACGGCATGAGGATACTGAGCTGAAGGTGCACAGGCAGCATGGGTGACATGATGGGGGTGGAGCAGGCTCTGGGAGCAGGGCTCAGAGGGGAAGAGCTCAGTGACTTGTGTTTCAGATAGATGGGTAAGGCACTACTCTGGGGCTTTGTTTTTTGTTTTTGTTTTTGTTTTTGTTTTCTGAGACAGGGTTTCTCTGTGTAGCCTATCCTGAAACTCGCTTTGTAGACCAGGCTGGCCTCGAACTCACAGAGATCCACCTGCCTCTGCCTCCCGAGTGCTGTGATTAAAGGTGTGCGCCACCAACTCCTGGTAACTGTGGGACTTTGTTAGTATGTGTCCTGAGCATAGTTCCCAAACCAGATTCCACAGGGGGCTGTGCCTCTTACAAGATAAAGATGGTCGAAGATAAGGGAAGGCTTGTCCATCTGTCCCAAGATGAGCAACATCTCATTATCGATGAACTCCTTAAATTCTTTCAGGTTGCAGTTCATTTGTTTCTCCAGCTCATTGCGGATCTGTGGGTGGGACAGAGCAGCAGTGACGCTGGGGCGGAACCTATTAGGGGTGATCTGCTGGAAGAGCCGCCCACCCTGTGCAGCGCTGTTTACAAAAAGGGGAGTTTGTCCTCTTTCTTTTGCTCAGGATAATGCGTTTGGACAGGCAGTACATCTGTATGGGTGGCGGGCATTCACTCAGTCCACCCCAACTTAACCCAATGGGAGGAAACCCATTTTTTTCAAGAAGGAAATCTGATTTTTTCCCCCCTAAGATCTTTTCTACTGAGTTTAAAACACTTACACTTTCACAATTAAGTACCAAAAACACTGCAATGAGAAGGTAAAGTCACTTTCCTGTTGGAGAAGGTATCATAGCATGATTTTTAAAAAAATACTAATCAATTAAAGATGAGGATTTATGGCTGAGGCAGGAAGACGGAGATCAAGGCGAGCCTGGGAAATGCATGGTGAGTTCCAGGCCAGCCTGAGCTACAGAGGGAGACCCTGACTCAAAAATACCAAAATAATAAATAAATAAATGGGCACTTTAAACTTCCTATAATCCTGGTCTGGAGAGACAGCTCAGAGGTTAAGAGCAATGGCTGCTCTTCCAGAGGTCCCGAGTTCAATTCCCAGCAACCACATGGAAAATAAAATAAAAAAAACAAACTTCCTATAATTCATTTTATTCTTCAAATAAAAAACAAAGGACAGGACCATCAAGATGGTTGAAGAACCATAAATGAAACCCAACTACCTGAGTTCAAGCCCCAGAATCTACATAGTGGAAGAAGAAAATTGACTCCTGCAGGCTGTTTTTTCTCCTTCACATGTGTTGTCTATCCCACCCTGGTTGCGATTAAATACATAAATAAATACAATAATTTTTATAATTTTTAAATATTTTTATTTTATGGGACAGGATCTTACTATATAGTCCTGGCAGGCCTGGAATTCACTATGAAGACCAGGATGGCCCTTAAGTCACAGAGAATTTCTTTTCTAGTGCTAGGATCAACGATGTGTGCCCCTACACACAGCCTCTAGATTTGAGTGTTCTGCCTGCAGGTATGTCTGTACACCACCTGCATGCAGTGCCTGTTGAGGCCAGCAGAGGGCGTCCGATCTCCTAGTGATAGAGTTACAGATGGTTGTGAGCCACCCTGTGGTAATGGAACTCAGATGGTCTTCAATAATAGCTAATACTCTTAACCAAGGAGCCATCTTTCTAGTTCCCACAGCAAACACCCCCACCCCCAACCAAAACAATGGACAAAACAAAAACCCATCAAGGCTGAGGGAGCAGCCTGAGATTTGAATCTCCTGTATGGCACAAGGCTGAGGGGGACATTCAAAAGCAGGGAAGGGCACAGAACACTGAGGTTCCCCGGAGGAACCTAGGACCTTCCACAACTGTCCCTAGGGCTCAGAGAGGGCCGACAACTTTCTCAAGGTCTCTGGAATCAAACTAAAGCCTAATTCTAAGCCTGGGCCCTCCACAGCCCTAGTGCCACTACAGGGCAAAGTGCACCGGAGCCTCCAGGGTGACAAATGGATGCAGGAGAAAACCAGAAGGTACTGGGCCTGCTTCTGCTGGGAACCTGGCAAGACAAACAGGTGTACTGGGCTTCAGCCTGCTATGGGCAGGGGACTGGAGGGGCTTACTTCCTTAGAAGTCACATTTTCGAGGTCCTGACTCATCATGATGCTCCGGAGCTTGGCTTTAATGAGACGCTCGGTTCTTTCTCCCTCAGTCGGCCTAGGAAGAAAACGTACAGGAAGTTGCAGAAGTATGAGAAAGAAGCCTCAGAGGGAAGGTTGAGAAGCACTGGTTTAGAGTCACAGACTCAGGTTAAAAGTTCTATTGAAAACCTGTTCAGGAAGGGGCTGTAAGTGAAGGGGCTGCAGGGAAGTGTGACCTTGAGAGGACCTAGTGTGACCTTGAGGACCCAGTGTTGAGCAGTGTGACCCTGAGAGGGCCTAGTGTGACCTTGAGGGCCCAGTGTTGAGCGGTGTGATCCTGAGAGGGCCCAATGTTGAGCAGTGTGACCTTGAGAGGACCCGGTACTGAGCAGCATGGGGAGGCAGCCCCTACACATACTTGTCCACAAACAGCGCTGGGGAGTCAGGCCGTGTGGACTCCAGGTCCTGCATGGCATTCCACTCATTAATGCAGCTCTGCTCAGAGCCGATGCAGCTCTCATAGTAGGTGGCCCAGATGAGCGCCACTCCCCCAGGGAAGTAGTTGTGCCTCCGTGCCACTTCACAGGCCTTGTGAAGCACTTGCAGGGCAGACCTGGGGAAGGAGAGAGAAGCTCAGGACTGGGGGCTTGGGTTCTGCAACCCACAAAGGGTACTCACTTCATGGCAGTGGAATGGGCAGTTCAGACAGGGCTCCTTCAGTCCACAAGGTGTGTGAGGGACACACGACAGCCAGGTACAACTATCAGTTCCCAGAGGCTGAGTCAACTAAGCTCACATGTGGACAGGATCTCCCTCCCTTTCCATTTCCAAAGGAGGGAATAAAGATCAGCAGCAGGCCCCACCCCATTGCCCCTAACTCTTCCAAGCTGGCTGGGTCACATTCCAGCAACCAACGCCAGATCTGCTTCTCAAGTCACAGCACCCAGAGTACAGTGGGGCTGTGTTCCAGGCATCTAATGGTGGGAGAGAAAGGACTTTAAAGAATAGCAGGGGCTCCTGAGCCCACCTGCGGACTCCCCCACCTCAGTGTGTAACATCTTATGGCCTTAGGGTGTAAAAATGTGTGTGTTTTATTTAGACAGCCTCTTTTACTTCTTTTGAAGAAAAAAAAATTCAGGCTGAAAATTTCTCAGCAAATAGGCTGTCAAGGGAGGGAGGTGTCGGTTGAGGCAGAAGCTACCTCTACAGGGCGGGCATCAGGGGATGAGAGTTTACATGATGGAGTACAGACACTGCAAGTAGCTTCACTTTCCTAATTCTGTCTGTCCTACTGTCCAGGCTGGTTGAAGGAATAAGCTTGAGCCAATGTTTATTAAATTCAGTTTAAGAATGTTTTTAAAAAGTGGGAAAAACCAAACCAAAATGATGATGATGGTGATAAACTTGGCTAGAGAGAAAAGAGGCAGCAGTTACCCAAAGAAACATTTGAGGCACCTGTTGGTTTGATCATTCTCAGGACACTGACTTAGTTTCCCGAATCCACCTCAAATGACCCTGAACTGAGTTAGAAGGGCATAACAGAGGAGGAGGGGATGGACACAGCACTAGAAGTGGCCAGTGAGAGATCTCCTGGGGACTCTCCCTGCCCTGGACAAGAGAATCATTTGGAAATGCTTATCCAATGCTTCTTGAGTTCCAGGTTTTTCCTAGTTTATTCCAACTGTTCTATTGCACTTTTACACTAACTGTTTAGCTCACAAGAGTGTCCAACTTTTAGACATTGCAATGTGACACTGTCCACTACAAACCTGTTGAGCCACACCCACAGTGCGTATGTGGCCCCAGGAGCCCAGGCCAGACACGCCTAACACAGAGCTGTAAGAGGAGGCTGGCTCAGGAAGCTGTGGACAATGCCACGCTCGCCCACGGCCACCATATTGGATCGGAGCAGCCCTCCCCCCCTCACTGGGATCCAGGCTTTACAGCTGGCATTCTGAGGCCTGACCACTGTGAGAACACCCGCCAGTGAACAAGTCAGTTCACGTGTGCGTAGCCACCTCCCTTCAAGATGCTTTAAACTCCAAGAGGGGACTCAGCTTTGGACTATGACCCCCTTGCCACTCGCTGCTCCAATGAAGCAGAGTGCTTGTCCCTTCGCTGCACAAATATAGCACCTGCTGAGTGCCAGGTAGAAGGAGTAAGTGAATTTATGCCAGCATGGCATTTACCAGGTCAACTGGTAAAGGTTCATCTTCAACATTAATAAATTTTGTAAATGGGTAGAGAACTTAAATAGAACATTTCCCAACAAAGACACACAAATATGAAACACATAAGAAAAAATGCTCAGTGTCAGCAGTCAAATGGAAAACTTAACTCATGTGCTGCTCATGCAAAAAACCTGAGTCTCTGGCACCCATGTCTTCAGCTCCCAACTCCAGGGGATCCGACACTCTCTTCTGGCCTCCATGGACTCCTGCACTCCCTTGGGCATGTGTATACATACATACATACATACATACATACATACATACATACATACACACACACACACACACACACACACACAGAGCAATATATAGCCACATACAATTGAGAGAAAAAATGCACACTGAGATAATAAAACAGAATAATGTTGACAGAGACCTGGGGAGGCCAGAGCTTTGCTGGTGGACCTGTGTAGCTGCTAAGGACAATAGGTGGTGGCTCTCCAGAAGGTTAATATAGAATTACCATAGGATTGGGGGGGGGGGGCTCATACCTTTAACCCCAGCACTGGGAAGCAGAGGCAGGTGGTGTTCTGTGAATTCGAGGCCAGTCTGGTTTACATAGTGAGTTCCAGGACAGCCATGGATCCTGTCTCAAATAAAAAGGATTCTCCACAGAATCTAGCAATTCCACTTGTAGGCATAGACCCAAAAGAACTAAAAGCAGAGCCTCGAACCAATTAAGCATCCAGGAATAGTCGGAGTGGCAGCATTAACAATGACAATCAAAGGCAGAGACAAGCAGAGATGGCAGGGTAGACAGAAGCTCCTGGCTTTGTAAAACAACGAGACTGATTCATGCCACAACATAAAGGAACCTGAACACTGTGTTAGAAGAGAAGAGTGAAACACAGAAGGACAAATAACTGAGTGAATCCACTCAGAGGTTCCTAGGACAGGGCATTCCATAGCAACAGAGAGCACACAGTTTTCTGGGGCTGGGAGCTGACAGAGAGGCTTCCTCTGGGGTGATGAGTGTGTTCTGTCGTGGACGTGGGGGGGGGCCGCAAAAAACACATGGAGACACACACAGACACACACACATAGACAGATAGACACACAGACAGACACATACACAGAGGCACAGACACACATACACACACACAGAGGCACAAACACACACACACACACACACACACACACACACACACACACACACACACACACACACTTCCAAACAGAAGTCATCTTTTTTTAAATTCGTGCTGTCAGGTAGAAAGTATTTCAAAGGAATTCAAAGCACACTCACCACATGGCCTGGACAGACACGGGCTTGAAGATGTGCATCCTGCCTGCTGTGCTCACACTGAAGCCACTGAGAGTGGAAAACAGGAAAGGTGTCATGAGAATTCAAGCTTCCAGATCCTGGGTGCAGTCCCACCCCAGACTGGGGATCAGCATGCCTTCTGCTGTCTAACAAGGGGCAGCAGAGATGCCATGTTAGACGGAGGCAAAAGAGAAAACTGCTGATCAGGGCTTGTTCCCAAGCCGAGTGTGAGCAGGGTGGCCTCCAATGTCACTTAGCAACACACAGTCACCCCTTTTCTTTTACATAAAAGTAAGAAAATGAAAAAAATTATCTTTTTCTTTGATGATGCTGATATCAAAAGTATCCCACCACTAAGCCACACCCCACCTTAAAAAACACCCCACGATCCCAGCACTTCCACGGACAGATCTTTATCTCTCCCTCTGCTCTCCCTGCAAGACCATCCCAGAATCCTGCTGCAAGAGCAACTTCCCATCTCACGTCTGTCTTCCTTGTGCACTGTACTTCCCCAGGAGTAAGTGCAGGTGCCATGGTCAGCCCTGTAGCCCCCAACCTGCCCAGGCTGAGGTAGTAATGCTTCCTCAGCAGCCTCCAGAGTGGCACCTGAAACTCTGCCAGCTACATCCTTGGCACCCCAAATGTGAGTTATCCTGCATTGACTCACTTATCTGTGCACTCCCAGATCACACAGCCCTTGAAGGGCCCAGAGTGATTTACCCAACACAGCAAGTATACTCCACTGCAAGAGACCTGGTGTGACACCCTGCAGTGGTACTTCCTGAGCTAAATCCCTAAAGAACATCCAGAGTTGATGTGGGAGGTCCTTCTGTATGCTGTGAATATATGTTTCTCTTAATCAACCAACACAGAGTGGTCTGCAACACCACCTCTGGCGTGATGAACCTAACACACAAAGTTACCCAAAGATGTGGGCTCTGTTGGTCCTTCAGTGCACAGGGAAATAAGTAGACAAAATGTGTGTCTATGTGTGATTGCATACACGTATGTCTGTGTGCATCAAGAGCATGCCTGCTGCACAAGGTGGCCAAAAGGGGGTGTCACTGGAACTGAAGTTACGGGTAGCTGTGAGCTGCTACATGGGTGCTGGGAACCACACCCAGGTCTTCTGCAAGAGCAGTCGGTGCTCTGAACCCTGGAGCCATTTCTCCAGCCCCAGGAAAGGATCTTTTAGAGAAGTCTCCATACCCATCCCCGTCAAGGTGGATCTTCGTGTCACTCCACAGACGAAGAACCATCCCGATGGTGCAGCTTTTGCTACATGGGGAAGAGAAGACATTGGAGTCAGTGTCTGCCCATGTACCTGCGGCCTGCCTTCCCTCAGCCTCTGCCTAGCAGCAGCTACAGGCTACAACCACCTGGCCTGACACCAACTGGAGGGTCTGTATGGCGGAGGGGCTCCCAGGCTGTGTCCACTCACTGCTGCGTTGTAGAAAGCACAGGCCTAGAGTGTCCCTGTTAGTGGGAGTGATAAAGTACCTAAACCGTTGCGGTGTGGCTTGTCCTGGGGCAAGCAACTGATCACAGGTCCCCCGCTGCAGTGGGCTGAACTGGTAGAGTGTCATACCCAACTGCAGTGTACAGGCAAGCAGTGAGAGCCCCTCCCAGGCTTCTGTCCTATGTAACAGGAGAGGGGAGGGTCCCCACACCTCACTCATACTCAGGCTTTTGTCTGTCTGCCTTTTGTGTTGCTGCCACTTTAAAAACTAGTTCAATCCGGTTCTGTTTTGCACATCCTAGCAGTGAAATGATCCTCACCGACTTCAGAGACTGGCGCCACTGACAGAGAAAAAGGGTTATCAAGGGGCTCCTCAGATTGTGATGCAAACCCTTCAGGAATTTAAAGAGCTGGCTTTTGAGAAACAGCTGTAACTGTGCCAGGGCAGCCCCACGGCCCGCAGGAATTCCAAGCGTCTATCTCTACATGACTTAGGGCTCTGGGAGCAGGGGTGGTGGTGAGAGAGGGTAGAGGGGGGGGGGGGGGGGGGGGGGTGGAATGTTACTCCCTCCTGTGTCTGGGTGACAGGAGGTCTGGTGTTCAGGGAGCTGATTCCCACTCCAGAGCTATTGCCTACCTTGTGCCATCCTGCCTTTCAGTATCTGAGGGGACGAAGTTTTAAGGCTTCCGGGTTAAACTGGACTAAGCATGTGGGTTGGTAAATTCCCATTTTCCCTCTTGCAGTCCTACCCACTGGCAAAAGGCTCCATCTTATCACCTTTGGGGGGGGGCTTCGAAATGAGATGTGTGCTGAGCCCCATAGGGCTCTGAAGAATACTGTGCTGTGTCAAGGTCAAGAAGGCATTCTCCAGATGCCCCAGAATGACACAGATGGCTTGGGTATGTGCCCTGGGATTTGTTGGCAGGTTTAGAACCTCTCAGGGGAAGCAAAGGCTAAAACTGTCCATATGAGACCATTCTATCAACTGGTTTCCTTCAGACACAGCAATGTGGAAGAAGAGGGTGGCTGGTACACCAATGGACAGATGTCTCTGGAGGACTAGGGCCCAGTGCACTATGTGACTGTGACAATAATGGCAATAATTCCACGAATTCAAGAACATCTCCACGGTTGCCATTACCATGACTCTCTGGCACTCCCATGTAACTCACAGTGAAGCTGGACAGTGAAGGCAGCTCTTGGGTGACCCACACACAGGAAGTGGGGCAGGGATTGGGTTATGGAAGCGTCATCTTCACAAGTGACAAATGGCCCCGAAGGAGGAAGCAGGTGGGACAACCGTGGAGAAGGGAGCAGGTTGCAGGTCCCCATGGGTTAAGAACAAAGAAGCTAGTTGAACCTGGGCCAGCCCAGAGGTGCAAGCAGGAGACACAGGCTTGAGAGGGGAACTGCTTTGGAAGATCTTTACAAATTCGGGGGAAAATCGATGAGCAGAGCATGGAACACCAGAAACAGAAGTTAACCCCGGGTGAGTCTGAGAAGGCCTAAGGAGGTGCCCGCAGCCGCTAAAGCATCAACATAGCCTTTTATACACAGTCCTTGTAGGCTTTCTCACTGGGAACCCATAAAAATGCTATGAGGAGGCAACACTTACTATACCCCAAGAAAACAAACTCTCATGGCAAGAATCCAGGGAAAGAGGAAAACCATCACACTGGCAGGGCAGTGGCTGCTGGGGAGGCCAGAGAGATTAGGGATCTGATACCCAGGGTCTACAGAAGCAGTTGAGAAGGCCAGTTCTGTCCTGACCTCCCCACCCCCACCCAGTGCCATGCCCAAGCACAGAGAACATGCATCCTGATTGCCTCTGTCCCCACTGCAGGAAAGGCTTCAGTTTCTTACCAGTCTCTTGACCCCTATTTTTCTTTTTTTAAAGATTTTATTTATTTATTATATATACAACATTCTGCTTCCATGTATATCTGCACACCAGAAGAGGGCACCAGATCTCATAATGGATGGTTGTGAGCCACCATGTGGTTGCTGGAAATTGAACTCAGGACCTCTGGAAGAGCAGTTGGCGCTCTTAACCTCTGAGCCATCTCTCCAGCCTGACCCCTATTTTTCTTAAAATTTATTTTAACTATTTACTCATCTTCTATGAATGAATGTTCTACCTGCACACCAGTAAAGGGCATCAGATCTCAAGGAACTGCAGTTATAAGGCAATTATGAGCAGCCATGTGGGTGCTGGGAATTGAACTCAGGACCTCTGGGAGAGCAACCAGTGCTCTTAGCCTCTGAGCCATCTCTCTAGATCTGCAGAGACCTACAACTGCCCTGGGGTTGACCCTGCAGCCAGGCTGTATCTCTAGCTCAGGGCCTAGACAGGGAGACACTGGACACATAGCAGAGGCAAGATGACCACAGGGAGTGAGGGACCCATGAGAACCAAAACTAGAAGGCCGAGAGGAGGCAAGGAAAGGCAGGACACATCAGAATGGGTGGGAATGGAGGCAGGAGCCCACAGACTGCAGCTGGAGGCAGGAAGCTGGGTGCACATAAGCACATCTTGGACTGCAACGGCACAGGCCCCGTCTCTTGTGACACAGCTGCACTCCCAGCACATGAGAAGGGCTAACAGGTGCATACACAGGTCCCCAAATGAGTGAACGAGCAAGGAATGCACAGGAGAACTGCCCACATCACAGGGGAGACACAGTGCTGTACGGCGCTGCTTCCTTGGGTCACAAGATGCCATTCTTGGACTCTGCCCCCGTGCCACAGCAACCAGAACAGAACAGTGCAGTGGTAGCCTGCTGCTTGGGAGGGCCAGCAGATGGTACCAGGATTCTAGCTGTCCCTCCCCACCCCTCAATTCCCCACATGACCTTGGGAGATGCCAGACTCTACATAGAAGCCAATGGCTGACTGAAAGCGGCCTACATGATGCAGTTACTACAAGATCAGCATCCATCATAAGAAAGGACTTTGTGATGATGTATGTAATATTTTGGGGTGAACCCCCTCACAGTGCTCCATAGGAAAGCCCAGTAGACTCACTGGCCTCAGCAAATTGGATTTTGGTGAAATCATACTTAGGTCTGTCACTGGTGTCCATCTGGGATGACTGGACATTCATTTGCATCCCCTGAGGAAAAGTTAACACAAATGGTGTCTACTGAGCCTGAGTCCTGCCCAGCTGCATCCTGAGTGACCCTGCGGCATCCACTCAGCTTCCCTGAGCCCCTGAAGTACAATGAGGACCAGACCATTACCCACAGGGTGCACGGGATGAACTGGTGACAGCAACACGCTCTGCTCTGCTACACAAACAGAGGTGAACAGAAGGAGACCGGACTGTGAGCTTCCTCAGCAAGGATCAAAATGGGGGTTTTGTGGGATATTTGCATGCTCTGTGAAGGTGTATTGCTACGATTGGTGTAATAAAAAGCTGAACAGCCAGCCAGGAGGCATGCCTTTAATCCCAGCAATCGGGAGGCAGAGGCAGGAGGATCTTTGTGAGTTCGAGACCAGCCTGGTCTACAAGAGGTAGTTCCAGGACAGGCTCCAGAGCTACACAGAGAAACCCTATATTGAAACGCCCCACCCCCACAAAAAAATCTGAACAGCCAATAGCTAGGCAGGAGCAATAGCTAGGCAGGAGGTATAGGCAGGACTTCTGGGCAGAGAAACAGAGAGAAAAAAAAAGGGGGGGGGAGATCTGGATCTGGGTACCCCAGAGATGGCAGGAGACACAGAGCAGGATGGGCAGGACGTGACAGAACATAGATTAATAAACAGGGTAATTTCTAAGCTATAAGAGCTAGTGGGACAAGTCTAAGCTAAGGCAGAGCTTTCATAACTAATAATAAGTCTCCGAGTCATTATTGACAGGCTGGCAGGCTGACGGGAAACTACTACAAGGGGGTACAGGCTACAAGAGACAGGCCCCAGTTCAGGATGGGAATAGGTTACCAGAATGATCTCCATGTAGTGAGAAAAATTCCTGTCTCGGAAGATTCCTACAGGGCTGGGCCATCACCTGAAAAACCGTAACTTGGACACTGCCAAACACTAATGCCCTAGCGTGAAAAGCTGAAGCACGAGGATTGTGAGTTTTACACACACAGACTCACACAGTCACACACACACAGACACATACACACACAGAGTCACACACACTGAGTCACACACAGAAGTGCTAACACAGTCACACACACATACACACAGTCTCACACACACACAGGTGCAAACACAGTCACACACACACAGTGACACACACAGGTGCAAACACAGTCACACACACATACACAGTCTCACACACACAGGTGCAAACACAGTTATAGACACGTCTTACACACAGGTGCAAGCACAGTCACACACAGACTCACACAGTCATACACACAGGTGCAAACACAGTCACACACACAGGTGCAAACACAGTCTCACACAGAGTCACACACACAGGTGCAAACACAGTCACACACACAGACTCACACAGTCATACACACAGGTGCAAACACAGACACACACACAGACTCACACAGTCATACACACAGGTGCAAACACAGACACACACACAGGTGCAAACACAGTCTCACAGAGTCACACACACAGGTGCAAACACAGTCACACACACACAGACTCACACAGTCATACACATAGGTGCAAACACAGTCTCACACACACAGAGTCACACATACAGGTGCAAACAGACACACACAGGTGCAAACACAGTCTCACACACACACACAGTTGTGCACACACAGCTCCTCCCTTCCTGTGCCACAGCAAACTTTCTCATGATGCCAGGAGGCATGGGAAGAGGAGTCACAAAGTGACTTCATCCCCTGCTTTGTTTTCATTCACATGCAACAAGCAGCGCAGTCTTGGTCACCAGCCTATGACACAGCTGCTTAGTCACAAGAAGACCCAACTGCAGTCATGTGACCCCCCGGGACTTTCTTCTTGTGACTAACTCTGCCCTAACCACAATTCAGGTCCACCTGTTGCCCCACACACCCGACCTCCCCATGCTTCCTATTGGACCTTAAATCCCATCTTGGCACCAGTCACCTGCTTGTGCTCTCACAGAAGCCTGGCACTGTGTCATTCTAACCCTCTCACCTTCCTGGTAGTGACAGGATCTATGCTAAGCACAGGGTGTGCTGTGGCATCTCGGATGACCTGGGGGCTAGCTTGTTGCCTCTTTCACAGGATAAGACAAAACTCCATTCACTTACCAATGAGTAGGGTAATGGGTGAAGATTTAGGGTTTGCAATGACCTCCCATGTGCATGCGTCATTTCATGCCACACTAGGGTCACGATGGAATTTACTTGGCCTCTAGTCCTAGGGAACTGCAAGCCTTAAAGCTTCCACACAAGGACGTGTCAAAAACAAACGCCTATCTATGGAAGATCGATCCCCACTGGACAGGCACTTCACACAAGGCCTCCCGACACATCTCCCTGCATGAGCTGTCTGTCTGAGAGGCATCGTTCTGGCTGTCTCCAGCTTATCCTTTGATGCTCACTGTCACTGTCATACCCTCAGGAAGCATCCCTGTGTGGGATGCCTGCTCAAGTTTGAGGGCTCCCCAAAATCTTTATAGAAACTGGGACCCCAAATCTGCAGCAGTGAGTAAGTGGTACACGTAGGAGCTGAGACCTGGAGGAAGATGGCACCCGGGTTTCTCCCTCAGAAGGAATTAAAGCTGGCTTAGCCTAGCTCCCACTGCAGCTGGCTTCCTGTCCTGCCATGTGACCTCTTCTGCATGTGTTCCTACTGTAACGTCATCTGCATGTTCAAAGAGAGGCCTCCCATGAGACCTGCAGCCTCTGACACAGCAGGCCAAACACCCTTCTTCTACAAACTACCCATGTACTTTGGAAGAGTAACAGAGACCAGTCACATGCCCCCTCCTGCTGCTCTGAGCAGTGTGTGTTCTCCAGCTGAAGAACAGAGGCAGGGGAGTGACAGCTGGAAAAGCACGTTCTAATCCCAGAGCCTTGGTGGGCCTCCATATTGTAGAGGGACTCAGTCCCTCCTCCAGGACTCCAGGAAAGTCTTTTGCCAACAGTGACCCATCTCCTGCTCTGACGGGAAATGCCACCCCGAGACTCACCTCTCCTTACTGGAAAAGTCAACTCCTAACAAAATGTTCTCCTCGGTGTCCTGGCGCCCGCTGGTGTACACCACGACCATATAGCGGACACGGTCGGTCCAGACGCTCTCTAGTCGTACAGCCTGTGGAAAAGGAGGTCACCTCTATGGTTTGCTCTCTTCTTCTGCCCACCAAACCAAGACCAAGGGCTTTTAGTTCTTGACCCTCACCCCCAAATCATCGAAGAAATGAAAACTAAGTACTTGTGAGTAGAACCAGAGTGTGTGCCTGGCACAGGGGACAGCCAACTGTGTGCAGTGGGGTTACAAGTCACATTCACATTTATCATAGATGCCAAAGAGACCTGACATCTCTGCTGGCCCCTTTGGGGTGCCAGGCATAGAACCCAGGGTGTCATACATCCCAGTGATGGCTCTACCATGGAGTGGCACTCCAGCGCCCTCTCTGGCTTTGGTCAACAATGTGAGAGGAGGAATCACGATAGAGGAGGGCTCCAGCCGCATTTTAGGACCACCCTCAGTTCTCACCAGCTTGATTCTGTCTTCACAGCGTAGAAGGTTGATCATCACTTGGAGATGCTGGGGCAGGTCACCTGTGGGGCCAACAAGGAGAGGTTCAAAGGGAAGGTCGGTTTCAAGGGAAGGTCGGTTTCAAGGGCCGGGGCAACACAGTGGTCAGTAATATTTTTGACAAAGACTTTGGAAAACACATATGCATAAAAACAAATATACCTGGATGACCCCGCCCCCTAACAATGGGGCACACACCCGCCATGCCTTGTGTCCTGTGAGGACTCTTGCGCAGGTGCAAAACCCCAGTGCGCATACGCAACCTCCCCTTTAAAAGGTCCTGCCGCCCATCTCTCCTCCCTTCTTTTTGGCTCCTCTTGGGTTGGCTGACTACTGGGTCCACAAGAGAATGTCATCACATCCAAGCAAACACTCCCCAGCAAGGAGGGGAGGCAGAAACTACAGTCATGGCTGCGGAGGCATCTGCTAAGGGGCTGAACTGAGAGGAAAAGGATTGCATGTCATCTGTCCTCTTCAAACATTTTCTACACAGGCCAGATGTTACTTCTGTATCAAGTGGATGGGGGTGGGGAGTCTACCTGGCCACAGACAACAGTTGCATGCTGGGTGTCCACAGAAGTTATCTGAGGAAAAACAATCTATCGTTCTCTTTTCTTTCTTTCTTCCTTCCTTCCTTTTTTTTTTTCGAGACAGGGTATAATGAGTGACGACCCGTAGTCCAAAAGATTAAGATATCTTTATTCAGATAAACACCAGCCAAACGCAAGCCAGAGCATGCCAGGGGCAGCAAGGCAGAGAGGCCAGAGAGAAGGGCTCCCTTGTGCCTTGTAGCCCCTTAAAAACCTATCATGAGTCATCCTGACCTCACCTTGACCACCCCCTGACAGGCGTGGTCAGGCACACCTGTAGCCAGCCCTTAGAAGGCGTGGTTACAGTGTCTCCCTACAACAGGGTTTCTCTGTAGCTTTGGAGCCTGTTCTGAAACTAGCTCTTGTAGACCAGGCTTGTCATAAACTCAGAGATCCTCCTGTCTCTGCCTCCCAAGTGCTGGGATTAAAGCTGTGTGCCACCACCATCCGGCTCTCTTTTCATAAAAAAAGAAATTATTAATGTGTTCTTTTTTTCTTCATTGCTAAGAGAAGTGAAAAGATAGTCATCTAGAGCAGTAATTATCCTGCCTCAGCCTCCTGGCATCTGGGACTATCGGTACACACTACATTTCCAACCAGAGAAAGTATTTTTTTTTTTTTGAGACAGGGTTTCTCTGTGGCTTTGGAGGCTGTCCTGGAATCCTCCTGCCTCTCTCTGCCTCCCAAGTGCTGGGACTAAAGGTGTGCACCATCACCACCCGGCGAGTAAGTAGTATTTATTTATTTATTTATTTATTTATAATTTTGTGTGCATTGGTGTTTTACCAGCATGTATATCTGAGTAAGGGTGTTGGGTCCCCTAGAACTGGAGTTACAGACAGTTGTGAGCCACTATCTGGGCGCTTGGAATTGAACCTTTGGAAGAGGTATCAGTGCTCATAACAGCTGAGCCATCTCTCCAGCCCATATTTCCCCTGACCCCTCCAGTCCATTTTTTTTAAGATGTTATTTATTTATTATGTATACAACATTCTGCTTCCATGTATATCTGCACACCAGAAGAGGGCACCAGATCTCATAATAGACGGTTGTAAGCCGCCGTGTGGTTGCTGGGAATTGAACTCAGGACCTCTGGAAGAGCAGTCAGTGCTCTTAACCTCTGAGCCATCTCTCCAGCCCCCCTCCAGTCCATTTTTAAAGACTAAAAACCATGTGTACATATGTTGTGGGGGTATGTACATGTCTACGTGCAGTTGCCTGCAGAGTCCAGAAGAGGGCATAGGATCCCCTTGAGCTAGAGTTACAGGTGGTTGTGGGCTGCTCAACAAGGACACTGAAAACTAAACTTGGGTCCTCTGCAAAAGCAACACTCACCCTTAACCACTGAACTCTCTCCAGAGCCACTCCGTTCCCCCTTTTAGATACAGAGTCTATATAATCCAGTCTGGCTTCAAACCCACAACCCTCTTAGGATGGGATGGGAACTTCTCTGGGAAGTCCCCCTAGGTGGGGGTCTGGAGAGTGAGCAGGGCAAGTGGCAAGCTCACTGGAGGATGATACGGTGTTTCAGGGTGTGGCTGCTAGCACAGGGTGCAGTGTTGCTGAAGTAGGATCCCTGTCCTGTCTTTCCATGCCCTGAGGCCTCATGCCCTCATCCCATCTGTGAAGACACTCACCCAGATGAAGGTATGAGAAGTAACTCAGTAAAGTCACCCTTTCCAATTGTGTGCAAAGCTCCAAAGAAACCCAATGATGTTTCTAGTTTTGTTTTAATTACACTATATGGAGCTGAGGGTAAAGCTCCATGGTATAGCACTTGCCTAGTATGTGCTCAGCCCTGGGTTCCATGCCAACAGTGAGGCAGCAACACTGTGAAACATTCTCTCCACGCTGGGAACCCTGAAGGACAACACTGCTTACATAAGTGAATGCCCTAGAAAACCATAGCCACTGTGCCTGCTGCAAAAGCACATTGCCCTTTTAAGGAATAGACTTGTGACGTATAAATGCCACTTCCTCTCTCTCAGAGGAAACAAGGCTTTTAGGAACCCGCCTCTCTAGTTGGGAGGGCACAGCTAAGTGTTCTTCCCACAATAAATTAGATCGGCAAAATGCAGACAGAAAAAGCCACAGTGCTTCCTATCTGATCCTTCCAGTAACGGGACTCGATAAGTGTGAACATAACCTCCCTCCTACCAGGACTGCTCTGAAGATACCAGCTCACACTGGGAGTTCCCTGCTATAATTCTCTTAAGAACCTACCAGAAGCCAGGCGTTGGTGGCACAAGCCTTTTAGTCCCAGCACTCAGGAGGTAGAGGCAGGTGGATCTCTGTGAGTTCGAGACCAGCCTGGTCTGTAAGAACTAATTCCAGGGATCCCTCCAAAGCCACAGAGAAATCCTGTCTCGAAAATCAAAAAAACAAAACAAAACAAAACAAAAAAAAAAAAAAAAAAAAAAAAACAAAAAAAAAAACAGGAGCCTACCAGGGTTCCAATGCCACAGAAATGCACAGAAACCAAGGGCTGGTGGTTGTTTGCCTGGGTCCTCCTACCATCCACCCCAAGCCACGGAGATCAAGTTAACCCCACCCCCATGTCTGATAAATGTCCAAATGAGAAAGGCATTTGGCACATAAATAAACTACTGATATCCCAGCCTCACATCCACATACAGATCAGAGAGAGGAAGTCTGGAGTGCAAGACCCTACACCGACTGTCTGGCTGAACCTGACCCAGCCCCACAGAATTAACCCTCTGATTACTCTCCACACTGGTGAGGGAGGCAATAGGGAAAGGGAACAGAGCAAAGCCATTTGCTGGCCATCCCAGACCAGCTAGTGGCTTCTCTGCCGTCCCAAGCTCATCACTGGTCCCAGGCTTCAAGGACAGAAGACCCAACCAGCCAGTGACTGTCTTCCTGCCTGTGTGCATTCAAGGGACACACAGATGAGCTTTTCCAGGGTCTGATACAAAGTGACTTCATATTTGTTGCCCCAGATCACTCAGGATAGGGACAAGTTTCACACTCAAAACACAAACAACACACACACAAAACACACACAAAACAAAGCCTAACCTTCAAGTTGCTGTATATGCTACAGACATCACCAGATGCAGAAATGATGGCTGCTTGTAGCTTTATCACACTGTAAGCCGCTGAGGTGACAATCACTACAGCTCATACATGCCACCCACTGGAAAAGCTGGCACATGAGGCACACTACAGGTGTGTATGTGTCCATGGAGGCAAGAACACAATCTTGGCTCACCAGGAGTTTTCACCTTTTGTGTATGACAGGACCTCTCAGAGGCCTAGAACACCTTCAGCTATGTTAGCTGGCCAGCAAGGTCTCAAGCTCACCTCTCTCCACCACCAGATTACAAATGTGTACTATCACACCTGGTCTTTCCTACGTGGGATCTTGGGACCTGAACTCAGGTCCTACTCTTGAAGCAAGGGCTTTATCAACTGTGCCATCTCTCGGTAGAGGGGCCTTCCCAACTATGTGCACAGGTGCCTCTTGAATCCCATCTTCAATTTGGTTTCATTTCTAGAGTCAAATAGCCTAAGAAATCCAGCCTTTATACTTGACAGGCATTTTTACGGGTCTGTTTTTGGACCTATGTCATTATTCAATTTGACCCCAACTCTATTACTTCTGTCCTTTCCAAAAGGCAGCCATTATAGGATAAAGACACCCTGTCACATGACCACTCAGGGTACAGCCAAAGGCTCTTACATCGCCCCTTCATGCTCAGGGGAGACATGAAGAACCTCGGAGGCCATTTTCAAAGGGACAGCTCATAGCTGTGATGCACCCTGGTCCATCTCTTCAAGTCGTACTGTAAAAACTGAGGTGTTCAGTTAACTGACGGAGAACACACAGGGAATCTTTGCTGTGCTGGTCTTTACAAACACATGATGTACTGCTTCCCTGGCTGTGAGACCCAGCATGCGACTTCCCTCCAACCGTGGAAGGTTCTCCCGAGGCACAGAAAGGGTCCCAGCTTAAGAGTATCAACCCTGTTTCCTACCTGCATGCTTGTGAGGGTGCTGAAGACTGCGCTGGCCCTGAGGGCTGTTTCCCTGCTGTAGGAAGAGGGCCGCTCCTTTCACCATGAAAAAGCTCTCGCTCAAGCTGGGAAGAACAAAACCAGAGCCCAGTTAGAGTGATTTCTTGAGAAACACAGGCAAGACATGCTGGAGAGGGAACACTGAGGGAGGACAAACGGCATATGACATGCAAGGGGATGAAACAGTGAGGCTGTTGCTGCAGTTCTCAGAAGCAAATGTTGTTTCAGGTGCACTGCCCCAGGCCAACAGACCCTTCCTACAGAAAGCGACAAGGCTCTTAGTGTAACACAGAGATCCCATGGCAGCAGAAGGTGACTGACCGCTCACTCTGAACCTGCACAGTTGATCTTTGCTTCTAACACTCCTACTCCCGCCTGCTGCATCCCCACAACTTCCAGCCCAGTCACAGCTTCCTGGTGCAGTCCTTCCAGGTTGTCTGTGTCCTTAGAAACACTGCATGGTAGAGCATTTGACTAACATACAAAGGACCCCAGGATTAATCCCTATTGACACACTCCCACCTCTGTCTCTCTCTCACACACACATACACACGTACCCCCTCACACACCCCCACCCATGCTCCATGTAATAAGGGTTGGATGCACAAAGGGGCAGAGAAGGAACAAAACAACAACAAACCACAAAAGCCAAGCAACAACAAAACACATTCTTGCAATTTTTCACTTATAATCTGACTAACAATTTTCTTCTCTCAGGGGCTGCAGAGATGGCTGAGGGGGAGGTAAGAGCCCTGGCTGCTCTTCCAGAGGACCCAGGTTCAGTTTCCAGAACCCACATGGAGGTTATCAAGCACCTGTAACTCCAGTTCCAGAGGATACCACACCCTCTTCTGGCCTCTGAGGGCACAGCACATACATGGTGCAATCACTAATGCAGACAAAAGACCACACACACACACACACACACACACACACACTCTCTCTCTCTCTCTCTCTCTCTCTCTCTCTCTCTCTCTCTCTCTTTAAAAAAGTCTTCAGGTAGGTGCTGGTGACATATACCTTTAGTCCCAGCAAAGGCAGAGGCAGAAGGATCTCTGTGAGTTTGAGGCCAGCCTGTTCTGCAAAATGAGTTCCAGGACAGCCAAGGCTACACAGAGAGACCCTGTTTCGAAAAAACAAAACAAAAAAAAGCAAATAAAAAACAAACAAACAAAAACAAAACCTTGAATTTAAGAACTCCTGGGGAAATGGAAGATATTTTCTATAATATGAAAAGTCAAGTTTATCTTTGATACCCAATGTTAGTGGTTAAACATTATCATCTAGAATTAAAGGACCCTGCAGAGGAAGTTGGGAGTGGCTACAACACCTGCATCTCAGCCCTCAAAAGGTGGAACTGTGAATTCAAGCTATCAAGACACAACCTCCAAGCAAGCTAAATCTAGCATGCCATTCTTAGCACTAAGCAAACACTGTTCGGACATGCATGCAGGCAGCAACTTGGCTTCTATGACAGTGGAGTCATAATAACATCTGAACTTTTCCTTATTGAATTCTCATGGTAACTAGCTGGAGAGATGGCTCAGAGGTTAAGAGCACTAGCTATGCTCCAGAGGACCCGGGTTCAATTCTCAGCACCCACAGAGCAGTTCAGAACTGCCTCTAACACCCTTCCAACAGATATACACGCAGGCAAAACACCAATGCATATAAAATAAAAAGAAGTCAGTCATAAAAGAAATTGAAAAAAACAAACAAACAAACAAAAAACCTCATGGTAAAGAGTCTGTTCAACTATGAATGAACTAAGACAAAGCTAGGCCATCTCAAAACACCAACCTTTGAATGCTGACAACCTGGAAACCCCGGGTCACAACTCATGCAGGAGGATCATCTTCATATTTTTACACACACACACACACACACACACACACACACACACACACGCACGCTGCACCTTCCCACCCACGGCTGTCACACACCTGCACTGAAGAAGCCTGGATTATAAACAGACAGGAATCTCTGCGGTCTCACTCCCTCCCAGGAAGAGGTGCTCCCTCTTAGTAGACACCCTGCAGGTAAGAGGCTTCTGTTTCCCTCTATCTGACGGTAGAATCCCCTTCCTCCCCAACCCTTCCCTACTAACTTTTACGACTAAGCTTTCAGGAGCTAATTTGATCCACTACACCCACCCGAGAATCTCCAAGAGCTGAGCCCAGGAAACGTAAAACAACCATCAGTAGATAAAAGCAGCTGCAGTTAATTTTCAAGACAACATCAACTCCTTTTGTTCACTAATTTGAAAAAAAAAAAACAAAACAAAAAAAAAAACAAACTCAGATTGACCAGAAACCAGAGCATGATGGAAACAGCCAGCCATGAACAGTGACCTTTGCCTTGGAAACCAAGAGCAAAAATTCCCCTTGGTTTCCCTTGTATTTCCTTTGGAAAAAAAAGGGAACAATGACAAAGAGCAGACTCTGCTCACCCTGTGACCTGCTCTGCAGTCAGTTGTTCCTCTGTCTGATAAGAAGGGGCCTCCCCCTCCACCCAAGGGGTCCGTTAGGGTCCTGGAACCACCTCAGTTACTGTCAACAGCCAGCCTGAATGCTGCAGGGAGCCCCACTGCTCTGGGGGGGGGGTGCAAGGTCCCATGTGTCCTGGAAATATACAGGAAATAGCAGAACACTGGTGGCCAAGATGACCCTCAGGCTGAGTCCAAGATGCTGTGGGGAGGATGGGAGACCACAGACAAGATGAAGCTACTTCATGGCCTGGCTTCTAGGTTGTGTCCTGGGCTACTGCTGACACACAGCCTCTGGTGTCCACAGGTGGCTGAAGAACCTTGCCCAAAATGGACAGTCCATAACTGGTTTTCTATGCTGAGCTCCTGATACCAAGAAGCTCAAGACCCTATGACCCTGTGACCCGAGGCCCCAGTGCCCCCCAACAGAACTCTCTCAGACATCCATGTCAGTAATAGCACACACCTTTCTCTGGGTACCCAGGGCAAGGATGCATGACAACCCACCAACCATCCATCCCAGACAGCGAAAAAGAATCCTTCTTCTTGTACGAGATTTTAGAGTCCTAGGAGTTACAGAAAGTCTGAGCCAGACAGAGGCAGCATCCTCCTTCACTTCCCTAGGAAGTCTCAACCGCTCCCCTCAGCCCTTCTCTCCAGGCTTTTATCTCCACAGCACAAGTCAGTTCTCAGACTTGTGCTACCCTGCCAGCCGTGTATGAAGGAGGGCTACCCTGCTACCCTCGGGAAGACTGTGCAGGGAAGGCAAACATGACCTTCAATCCCCAAGCCCTGGCTCTCACACAGACAGGGTGCCATCCGTGGCTTACGTACTAATGTGGGTTCGACACCTCTGAACAGCAGAGGTGCGGGGTTGGCCGAAGGAAGACACAGAAGTCAGAGAGATAAAAAAGTTCCATGGCGGCTGCATTCACATCCGTAGTAATCCTGCTGAAGCAGAGGGTGCCTAAAGAGACCCCGCCATCCACAAGACACAGGCCAGCCCAGCAAGATGCAGTGGGGCTTTCCAGTGCAACAGTGAAGTAAGTCCCTCCTCGGATGATGGTCTCACCCAAAGAGCAAGTGGCTCTCGTGTCCCTTGTCTTTTTCTGATATTTTGGCTTTAAAAGGCCCTTGTCCCAGCATTTCCTGATGAAAGGGGTCCATTCAGAGGAGGCAAAGCAGCTGAAGGTTCTACAGTCATGGCCCTCCCACGGGCTTTACTGCAGGCATTGGAACAAGCAATGGGTGTGTATTAGGAACCAGGAGGGAAAACAGCTGGCCACCGAGAACCAAACCCCAGTGAGAGGACCCCATCCCGGGTCAAAACCACACACATGAGGAGGTCCCAGGGAATCGCTTTCTTTCAAATACCCACCCATTCCCACTAGGCAGGGTTGTGGGCGGCTGCCATGGGGATGGAAAAAGGCATTTTCAAAAGCAACTTTACATCCAAAAAAAAAAAAATGCTTGAGTCACATTTTTAGCTACTTGAGGCACCTGGTGACCCTCAGTTTAGGACACTGCAGATGATGGGACTCACTTGTGCTTCTGTGACCATCTTCTAGAGGTGTCCCAGCAGGCCAATCTGCAAAGCCAACGCAAGTATCTGACCCCAAAGGGCTGGAGATGCTGAGAGCCTAAATTTACAGGTTAAGGACAGGACCCCGGCAGGCTGTGAAACAGGAAGAGCTGGGGATCGGGACCAGTCCCTGAGGGAAGGAGCACTGAGCAGGAGCTGCTGGGAGGTCTTGTCCGGAAGCTTCTCCCAGCTCCAAGTGATGATTTAGTCCTCACTAGAGGAATAAGTGAATCACATGCCTCTTACTCAGCATCGCTCATCCAGGAACACACATCTTTACCGCTGGGACTAACTCCCATCCACATGTCCCACACTCACCGTCTCAACCCCTACGAGGTGGCTTCCTTTTCTATATAAGAATCCACACCACGGCACAGCTGCAGCCTCTGGTGGCCCACCACAGTGTCACCAAGAAGCCAGGACACACATTGTGCCTTCAGTCCCCCTTCTTAGCATCCAAAAGTAGCACACACAGCCAAGACCAAGGGAATGGCTCAGAGAAACAGCTCCAGGCTAGGAAGGCTATAGAGTGCTGCCATCTGTCTAAGGGATAATCAAAAAGGCAGAGGCCCTGTTACATCACCTGCCCACTGCCACCACCACCAAGGCTGTGGGACAGGAGACATCACTCAGTCCTTCTTCACTGAGCAGGGATGGAGAAACACTGTGGGAGTTTGAGGATATGCTGATCAAGTATTCAAGGTAGGCGTCTCACAGTTCTTAGACCTCGATCACCAAGTAAACGCACAAACGCAAGCTGTAAAATGTGAACGGCTATGAGCCAAACCCTTGGCTTGTGGCGCAGCCATTAATTTGTCAGCATAAAAAGTTCTCTGCACCCGAATGTGTGATCTCTACAGGCACTCAGAGAGACTGTGAAGGGTGCTTTACAGTCTAGAGAGCTCACCCCCCACTGCTACACCTAATTCTTACAATGCCATTCTTCTGACAAAAGATCCATGATGGGAGAACAAACTGTTGGAAGTTGTACAGCAAAC